ACAATATTTGTCTTTTTGTGACTGACTTATGTCATTGGAGCATAATGTTTTGAAGATTCATCCATGTTGTAGCATGTATCAGGACTTCATTTCTCTTTAAGACTAATATTTCGTTGTATGTATATACACATTTTGTTTATGTAGTCACCTGTTGATGGGTATTTAGGTTGCTTTCACCTTTTAGCTGTTGTGAAAAGTACCACAGTGAACATTGGTATACAGGTTTCTGTTTGATTCCTGCTTTCAATTCTTTGGGTCTGATTGGGATTGCTGAGTCATATGGTAGTTCTATGTTTAACTTTTTGAGGAACTGCCAAACTGTTTTCTACCTTAACTGTAACATTTTGCATTCCCACCAGCAATGGATGAGGCTTCCAGTTTCTCCAAATCCTTGCCAACACCTTTTACTTTCTGGGTTTTTTTTTTTTGTTATTTGTTTGTTTTTATCATAGCCATTCTAGTGGGGGTGAAGTAGTATCTCATTGTGGTTTTGATGTGCATCTCACCCCACCCCCCACCCCCAGTGACTAATGATATTAACCGTCTTTCCATGTGTTTGGTGGCCATTTGTGTATCCTCTTTGGTGAAATGTCTGTTCGTTTCCTTTGCCCATTTTTTGATTGGGTTGTTTGTCAGATTATCATTTTTTCGAATACTAATCTATGAACTTTTAACCAACTTAATAAAAATTCAGCAAATTGAATACATTGAGATTTTGGCAGAGTGGATTTGTTAGGACAATTCCTACTGAAAGACCAAAACTATAAAGATTTAACACCTTGTTTGCAGGTCAGTGAGAAAAGATGATTATAAAACTAAATATACACTGCGCATGTAATTGTGTTTTTTAAATGCCGGGAAGAAAGTAGACCAGAATGTTCACAATATTTCAGAGGTAATACATTATAGTTTTTTTCAACTTTATGTCTGTCTGAACTTTTAAGTGTTCTTCAATGAGTATACCCTTATGATTGGAAAAAAACGATGTAAGTATTTTTCATAAAAAAGCCTACATGTCAGAGAATATGTAAATGAGCTAACCAGTTCCATTCTTCTATCCTAAATTTCTGCCCTAAATGCCAAGCCCCCCTCCCTGTTTTTTGGAATTTTTCTTAGTGTTAAGGTGGATCATAGTCTCTACATGTGTAGGAACTGTGACTGGGAGGAGTAGAAGAGAATAATCTAGATAAGGGGAGACTCTGCCAGTGATGGCAATAATGTTTGTCCTTCTTGTATTTGCTATGCAACATTTCTGACATCTCTCAGAGTCAGAATTCCAGATTAAAGAACCGTGACTTAACTACTTGGAGTTTCTCTAAGAGCTCATATTCCTGCAAAGAAAAGGGAGAGTTTATGTTCTAGATCATGTTTTTACAGAGGATACTTCCTCAGAGTGCATTATATCCCTTGGCTCTTAATTCTTGTCTTTTCCATTATCAGCCATTTTACTTAGTAATTTTCTCAGTATTCTAACTGCCTAAAGCTTCAGGGATATCTGTTTTTGAAAACTCAGATAGATTTAATACCAGTAAATTTATTAATCTTTTACATAGACTAGCTCTCTTTTTCCTAATTCCAGTGGTTATCTTTTAGGTTGCACAGGGATAGTTGCTGTCTCATAATTTGCAGGAATAGCAACTTGGCTTCCATAGAGCCCATATAAAAAAAATAATAAATGAGGGACTCTCCTACTTAAGGGGGTGACTTGACAGATGTCTTACAGATATCACAAAAATGTAACTGCACTGTGCTTTCTAAAATTCTTAAATCTTAAGATGAAGTTGTTGCCAGTTATAACAGTTTTGATGTAGCACAATTTTCTGAGGTCTGTATTTCATTCATGGGATGAGAGTTGAAAATGGCAACAGTCCTAACTTGATGTAATCATGTCCATAAATTCTAAAACCTCTGGCAGAAAGAAGACAAAATGTCTTCCTGAAATCCAATGATTAAATTTTTTAGGGGTTCCTAAGATTTTTCTGAATTTGTACATTAGTCACTTCATAGAAAGAGACTGATGAAAAACAAATGTTTTTCTTCCAATAATGTAAAAATGTGCACGTATCTTGAAATCACATTGTTGCTTTTTTGTTTGCATTTACTTGTAATTTTAATGCATAGCTATATTGTTTTGGTTTTTAAAAGCTGTCATTTCCCCTCCTTTTGATATTTCACAAGTAATGGAAATTAAGTGTGCCTATAAGAATTTTGTTCTTATTGGAAGGAGGAGGGTGTCTTTGAGCACCTCTAAGTCCAGATAATGGTGAATCTCATGCAGAGATTGTCACTGTCTTGTGGTGTTTTAATGCAGGACAAGAACGAGGGAAAAAATCTGTGTCTTTGTGTTTGGAATTTCAGTAATACCTCTTTAATATAGGGCTGCTATTATTTGTTTAGTAAACTGATTTGAGTGTCCCTTCTGTGTAGGCTACTTTGTTTGGCGCTATGGATGATGCCTTAAAGAGTGTTTTAAGCAGAACAGCCTAGTCAAATAATTTAGAAAGGCCATCATTTGATGTGTTGAAGTAAGAACAGGAGACAGTGCAGTAAGAGATTATCTTATAGTTAAATTAATACAGTAGTAATAATAATCTAAGGGGTCAGTCATGGGAATGAACTAGAAAACAAGAACAAATCTGAGACAGTATCTTATATTTAATTCCCCTGTTCCAGCTAATTCAGTATTAATTATCCTGTAAATCTGGAGGTATCTATCTATCTACCTGTATTCGCAGCCCCCACACCCCCACTCTGGCACACACAAATTTTACTGCACCTCCCTATTAGTAATGGTAGGAGAAGGGATGTATATCACAATCTCAGTAGTGTGTATGTATGTGTGTCTGTTCAGCTTTTAAAAGAACTGTGTCTCCTAAAGAGATGTGTGTTCTTTCTGTCTACCTCTTGTGAGTTACTACTGTAAATCAAGACTTAAGATAGACACTTGAACAGGGTGAGTAACAATTCCTACTGGGTAAGTAGCTACTTGATGGGCCCTGGTGGCACAGTGGTCAAAGAGCTCGACTGCTAACTGAAAGATCGGTGATTCGAACTCACCAGCCACTCCACAGGAGAAGATGTGGCAGTCTGCTTCTTTATGGATTTTACAGCCTTGGAAACCCTATTGGGCAGTTCTACTCTGTCCGATAGGATCGCCATGAGTCAGAATTGACTAGACGGCAGTGGGCTTCGGTTTGAAGTAGCTGCTTTTTTTAAAAAAAAAAAAAGCAAAGCGTGTTAAATGTCTCATGTTACCTATGGAAGAAATGTTTTGCTTAATGTTTTTGGGTACAGTTGATGTATGCTTGGAATAAAAAGTTTATCTTTCTTTTTATCTACATCTTACTTTGGTGTTTATTGTTTAGAGAAAGCTACTCCTGAGTTTATATTTGATCCTAAAGAATCCTCCAGAAAGTGGTCGTCCCCTTTTTCATGAGTGGAATTTAGAACTAAATTCATAAAATTTAAATTCATAAAATTTAAAACATGCAGATTCCCCAAACTCTGTAACTCTTAAGAGAATTCTGCTTTGGAAACAGAATTAAAATCAAATGCATTTTGAAGAGATACACGTAAAACAGACTGATTATTTAAAATCAGAAGATCCATAAAAAATATAAGCAGAAAACTACACCAAAGAAGGAATACATATTCAGTATAAGACAGTGAGGCAATAGCAGAGTTAAACCTTCCCACATTTTCCATAACGTGAATTCCATACTTAAAGAAAATTGTTTACCTTGTGTAGACCACAAAGGAAGAATAACAGGTGGTATGGTAATGTTTTCTTGTTCATTATGGTCCCTGAGTGGAGAGGTAAAGAATAATTGGTTTGAAGTGTGCATAAAAAGGAGATTTAAAGAACATTTCTTATGACAGTGCAATAATTTTGAGAAGGAAAGTGTTAAATGTCTTTTTTCCCTTGTTCCCAAGAACAGTTTGTTCACTATTCACTGTTCTTCTGAAAAAGATTTGAGACTGTTCCAGAGAGATTGGTTGTTTTAATCTCGATGAATGATCTTGTGTTTCCATAGAAATCAGATCAGGTGATACCTTTCCGCTTTATGTTTATTTCTTTTTGGTAATGTCTCTAAGAGTGGTCTTCTTTTGACTTGTCTTCCTACCTGTCTACTTGTAACACTTCACTCCTATCTGTTGACTCATGGGTTGCCTTCTGTAGGATTCTTTTAATATTTTTTATTTACTATCTGAAATGGTTATCTTTAAATTGTGCATTAGTGTTGAATAAGTGGTTCTATGGAATTTGTAAGCCAAATGACTTTATGAAATTCCTTTGTAAGCTTAATATTCTACATAGAACATCTGATACAATACAATAATCCAGTAAAAAGTTATCTATTTTCTTCTTTAATTTTCACCCCAGAAAAAAGAAAGGCTAGGTCCACAGTAATGACTGAGATGAGAGCTGAATGTTGTAGAAGTGCTGCCTGTCTGATGAAATCTTAATCTAAGTGTCCTTTTGTTGTCTGGAAAGCTTTAACAAACATAATCCTGAGCTTAATTTTTTTATACCTTAAAGGAACCTTAGATATTATCTCTTGTCACTCTTACACTTTATAGTTGAATAATGCAGGAGCCTGAGAAGTGTGACTTACTTAATTTAAGATCGCACAGTTGGTTAACAGTAGAGCTGACCCAGATCTTGAATTGTTCCACAGTCCAATTTTTCTTATGAAGATATTCACCACATATTGAATTGAATTGAATTGTATGCATAGGTTATGTTTTCACCATGATAGGAGAAATCCAGACCTCTCGTTGAAGGGTATATAAGCTGATGTGAACAATTTGTATATAAGACATTTGCCATTGCAATGTCTGGGCTGCAACTATACAGTTCCTTTATCACCCTGCTGTCTCTTGGGTATGCATGAAGCCCTCTTTTGTTCTGCTGAATTTGAATACAGGCATTATGTAGACCTGATGTTTCCCAACATACGCTGCTGGTGGTAAGTCATGGGCCCGATCTTGTATTTCAGCTCAAACAGCTATAACTGCACCAAAGACGTGGAAGAAACCAAAAGATCGGACCCGAACCACTGAAGAGGTGTTAGAGGCAGAGTTGGAGGTAAGGGGCACCAATAAATCTCTTTATTTCATCTTCAGAGCAGTGGTGACATTTCATAAGTGTGACTTTATACTTCTTTCTTGAGATACTGTTTTCCAAGTGAAACTTGATATATCAAGCTCAGAGACTGACTTAAAATCTATTTACAATAGAATTTTTTCTTTGAGATTTTTAATGGCATGTTTAATTTCATTTAATTATTGTCTCTTTTTCAAAATATCCCTTCTGAAATGGCAAAAATAAGTTATTGTTTAACTTTTGGTCACCCCTCCTCTTCTCTGTAGTTGAAGTTTTCTTTATATTAACCTGATAAAAAGATTAATCTGGTAAACAAAAAATGAAAACTTTTCTCTGAGGACGTCTAGTTTAATTGGCCTAACATAGTTTATAAAGAAAATATTCTACATGCTACACTGATGAGTAGTGTCTGGGGTCTTAAAAGCTTGTGAGCAGCCATCTAAGATACTCCACTGGTCCCACCCCATGTGGACCAAGGGACAATGAAGAAAATAAAAGACACAAGGGAAAGATTAGTCCAAGGGACTAATAGACCACAACTACCACAGCCTCCACCAGACGGAGTCCAGCATAACTAGATGGTGCCTGGCTACCACCACCGACTGCTCTGACAGGGATTACAATAGAGGGTCCCAGACAGAGCTGGAGAAAAATGTAGAACAAAATTTAAACTTACAAAAGAAGTCCAAACTTACTGGTCTGACAGAGACTGGAGAAACCCCAACAGTATGGCCCCCAGATCCCCTTTTAACTCAATACTGAAGTAACTCCTGAGGTTCACCCTTCAGCCAAAGATTAGACAGGCCCATAAAACAAACAATAATACTCAACCATGTATACGAGACTAAATGGGCACACCAGCCCAGGGGCAAGGATGGGAAGGCAGAAGGGGACAGGAAAGCTGGACTAATGGAAATGAGGAACCCAAGGTCAAGAAGGGGAGAGTGTTGACACATCATGGGGTTGGCAACCAATGTCACAAAACAACATGTGTATTAATTATTTAATGAGAAACTAATTTGCTCTGTAAAACTTCACCTAAAGCACACACGCACACACAAAAAAAAAACACTTTTTTTTTTGTCAAATACCCATTAGCAATGGTGGTAGAAATCACCAGGTACATTTTAGGGAAATTGATTTTGAATCTGTCATCTTTCAGCTATATCCCAGTAACAGCTTTTGTTCATGCAGTTTGTTTTTCTGAACTAAGCCACACCGGATTTTGCTATAGATTACAGAATTCCAAGATTAACAGATGATGTGAAGAAGAGACAAGGGCAGATTTAGTCCTAAGGACTGGTCTAACAATTTACTAGTGTGTAATTTGAACATGCATAGTGTTAGGTTCTGAACCTTATAAATGAAGAGCAGTGTTAACAATCTGTATAACTTTTTTCCTTTTTAAACTTCTAATATCCACTTTATTAAAATAATTTTTGTTGAAGGTTTAAAATGATAATATGCCAATGTAGAAACTATCTTAAAATGAATTTAAATGGCATTTATAAGATTTTTCTAGCTAGTTATAATGCTTACCCTCTTCAAACAGCAAACAGTACCCATTTGTTGCTTCTCCCTGTCCTCTCATTGCTCTTACATTATGCTGTGTTGATGTCACAGTTAGTCCCTTAGCAACCACTAAAATGTTGCATGGGTGTGATTTCATTGTAGTTATGAGGGGGTAAGATTTGACCGTAAGTTATAGAGGTACAGATAGTTACTGCACTCCTCTTACAGCTGACCAAGAAAATGTTGCTCCTACAGAGAATTAAATACCTTCCAGAGACAGGGTGTTCGCATGCATTCCTGGTATGGCTATAAGAGCTTCGTCGACTGACTCGTCTTTAGTTTGGCTATTTTTTATTTATTTTCTTCTGTTATACATCATGTTCTTTTGCCTCGTGGCTAGATTTCTAAGCATTATTGATCTTAAATGTGTAGGCCACCACTCTGTCCCTTTAATACATTCATCCCGTTCTTTAGATTGGGGATCAGCCTGTAAAGAGCCAGATAGTAAATATTTTAGGCTTTGCAGGCTATATGATCTCTTTGACAATTTCTCATCTCTGCTGTGGTAGCCCAAAAGCAGCCATACATGATGCATAAACAAATTTATGACTGCATTCCAATAAAACTTTATTGATGAACACTGAAATTTGAATCTCATATAATATTCACATGTCGTATAATATTTTAGTACAAACATAAAAACCATTCTTAACCTTACAGGCTATACAAAAACAATGGTGGACCAAATTTGGCCCATGGGATGTAGTTTGCAGAAACCTACTTTAGATTGTTATTCTTCAAATACGAGAAATGTTTTGACTCATTTTCAACCAATCACTTTTTTCTTAACCTTGTAATTTAAAAGTAAAATACAAAAGTATTCGATGATTTACACAGATGTCTTTCAGGAATCCTAGTTCCTTGCCTTTCCTAAAACAGAGCATTTGTTATTTTGTGTAGCTTAGTAAGTGTTCGATGCCATTGTCTTCCTTTCCATAGATCAGGCTCCCTCCTTTCTTAAATTATTTTCTTAGCCTTTAAAATAATGCATTTCAAGCATCAGCCTATTTTGGGTTATATATTGGGTTGTTAAATCATTGCAAATATTTATTTTATTAAATTATTTAAATTATAGCCTAGAACAATAACACAAAAGGTGATTCATCTTAAAATCACTGGTCGAGGCCTCTTAAATTTTGTTTAAACGTTTTAGGATGACTACATTTCACCAATCATTACATATGTAGGGGTCGGTCTTATTTTCTAGCACTTTAAAAACTCAATGCATTAAACAGTTTTATCAAGTAAATTATGCTTTTAACAGGTTCCTGTGAAAAGTTCACATTTGATAGTCCAGTCAGTGATGTCCTTTCTTTCCTCAACCTGGTTTTCTGAGTAAACAATTTAGAAAATCGTTTAGACACAAACTAGTTGAATAGAGCTTCATTCTGCTGCAAGGAAACTAATTATTACAAATATTTAATTCAGTAATTTTTGTGGATTCTCTTGAAATATCCCTTATAACAGTATGCCTTAGATACCTCAGTGATTTTGGGTTCCCTAAATTATAGTTTGTCATTCATGGAACAAGTTTCTTTCTACTTCTTTTTCTAGTTAGAAATTAAAGTTTCAGGTAATACAGCTTCTGTTTGTATGAAATGGATTGTTGAATTTAGAGAACCCAATATATTATTATTTCTACGATAGCAATTTTTCATAAAAATGGGATCTGCAATGAGAATAATATATAATAGCATAATGTCATTATCCTGCTCTTTGTTGTTGTTGTTGTTAGGTGCAGTCAAGTTGGTTCCAACTCTTAGCAACCCTATGTACAACAGAACGAAACACTGCCTGGTCCTGCGCTATCCTCACAGTCATTGTTATGCTTGAGCCCATTATTGGAGCTACTGTGTCAATCCATCTCGTTGAGGGTCTCCCTCTTTTTCGCTGACCCTATATTTTACCAAACATGATGTCCTTCTCCAGGGACTGATCCCTCCTGATAACATGTCCAAAGTATGTGAGAGGAAGTCTCGCTGTCCTTGCTTTTAAGGAGCATTGTGGCTGTACTTCTTTCAAGACAGATCTGTTCCTTCTTTTGGCAGTCCATGGTATGTTCAGTATTCTTCGCCAACACCACAATTCAAAGAGGTCAATTCTTCAGTCTCCCTTATTCATTGTCCAGCTTTCACATGCATATGAGGCAATTGAAAACGCCATGGCTTGGGTCAGGCACACCTTAGTTTTCAAGGTGACATCTTTGCTTTTTAGCACTTTAAAGAGATCTTATGCAACAGATTTGCTCTTTAGTAAGTTTATTTTTAAGTACCATTTGTAGACTCATGCCCCAGATTATTAAAGATCTTCATGATGACCTTGTACTTAATTATGAAATGGTATTACAAAGGTCATTATGAGTTAGAGTATAGTAGGCTACGGAATCTGAAAAAAATGAGGCTGTTGAATCATGATTCATACTTGGTAGATCTGTTTTTCATCAACATACTTTCTGCCATGTTTCATAAAAAGAAATCATTTCCAGACTTTATATCTTTCTTTCTTTCTTTTGATGTTGTCCATATTGTGGCTCTCCCCATGGAGGGAGGAGGGGACTGTGTGTGTCTTTGCATAAACTTTTTATTGTCATTATGGAAACTGGACCTAAAACTGTTTCTTTTGATAGCATTTTTAAATCTAAATAATACCCTTTCCCCCATCATCTCTAATGTATGGTAGAATAAAATTTGCCAGTATTGTATCTGTTATAATACTTCACCCTTCTAACAGAGTAGCATTTGTCACTTGAATTTTTTTGAAAAGTAATTTTATAAATCGGTTGGGCTAAACCACTTCCTGATATGTATGACACTCTTTTATACAATCCTGCATTGACTCAGCCCCACTTTTTAACTCTTCTTCTAGTGTAAATTTATCATTTGCAACACCACTTACTTCTGAGTGCTTCTTCCAAAGGATTGTTGTCATAGTGTTTACCCTTAATCAAAAAGAGACTTCATGGAGAGCTTTCCCTCAAGACATTTTGATGGTTCATATGGCCCTTAAGAAATCCATTTTTACTTGGTATCTGAAACTGAAATGGTTAAAAATAATCTAGTGAATAGCTTAAATTCTGTCTTGCCTTTTAAAAATAAGTATGATGCACCAAAGAGCACTGGTGGCGCAGTGGTTAAGCGCTTGACTGCTAACCAAAAGGTCGGCGGTTTGAACCCACCAGCTGCTCTGCAGGAGAAGGACGTGGCAGTCTGCTTCTGTGATGATTTACAGCCTTGAGATGAGAAGGGACAGTGCTGACATGTTGTGGGGTTGTTAACCATTGTCATAAAACAGTGTGTGTACTAACCGTTTAATGAGAAACTATTTGTTCTGTAAACCTTTCATCTAAAGTACAATTAAAAAAAAAAGATTTACAACCTTGAAAACCCTATGGGGCAGTTCTATTCTGGGTCGCTGTAGGGTCACTATGAGTCGGAATTGATGATGGCAATGGGTTTGGTTTATGATGTACCAGAACCCAGTTTTCTCCCTAGAGAAATATATTCCAAGCATTTTTTGATATATGATTTAAATAAAGGTCACAGACTCAGAACTTTAAGATCTAATAAACAAAAATAGATTTTAACTAACAATTTACCTCCTTGTTAAATGAGAGATAACCAGCTTTGTGGGACTTAGACACTTTAAGGTATTCATCAGGCTCTCTATTTCAGTGAGAGGATAGCACAAAAACCCTCTCGTGTTCATTCCTTTTTATATTTGCTCAGCTTACTGGCAAGGGTCGGAGTGCTTGTTTTTAGATTTCTAACTATGACTTTTTCATGTCTGTCAAGTTCAAGGACTAACGGTTCTTTCCATTTCTAATCTTTAGTACATTGGATTTTCATTAGTCAGGTTAAAGTATTTCAATAGCTATTTGAATTGCCTGCCTCATCCCGGGAGAGGAAGTGAGAAAAGTATTTTAAATAGACTTATCGTTCTAGTTCCATATGCTGAAAACAGACACCTTTGTCTTGAGTAACATGGTTTTCTATGCTTTTTGAGGAGTAGATGTAGGTCTTTGTGTATATTTACCACAATGAAAAAAATATAACCTCTTTGTTCACTTACTTTAGCCTAAAGCTGAAGAGGAGCTTTCAGGTGACAAAGTACTTGAATCTGAACAGGATAAAGTGAACCAAGGGTTTCATCCTGAAAGAGACCCCTCTGACCTTAAAAAAGTGAAAACTGTGGAAGAAAATGGAGAAGATGCTGAGCCTGTGCGTAATGGTTCTGAGAGTGTTTCTGAGGGTGAAGGAATAGATGCTAATTCAGGCTCTACCGATAGTTCTGGTGATGGGGCCACATTCCCCTTTAAACCAGGTAAGTTTGTCCCAGTCTTCCCGTGTACCTGTTTCTTTTTCCCCTTCACTCTACTGCAGCCTTAGAGAAATGTTGCTTCTTCGTAGAGAGACACTGGATGGAAGGAAGAGGTTTATCACATGTAGATAATATTTACAGACTAGATCAGCAGGCATAAGTTAAAGTGACCAGCAAATCCAGTGAGTTCATGTTGGTGGAAGTGATATCTGATGCTGGTGTTCCACTTTTACTGGCTTTGGAAGAGCAGCTGGTAAAGGGAAACAGTCAGTGCCAGGCTGGTTGAATTTGATGAGAGAAATTTAATTTTATTCATTTTAATTGAAAGGGATATTACAGATATGACCATGCCCTTTGAGATAGTTGTCCTTGTCATTTCACAAGCCTTGAACTCAATTTGTTGACAGAAATTACTCTTTAGACCTGAACTCTGATGTAATCAGTCAGAACCATTATGACGGAGTTATTGAGCACCTGCAGTACGGGAAGTGCCCTGCAAAATATATGACAAACCTGCGAGCGTCTTTTGTCTTAAGATACCATCAAATGCATTAAACGTCTGTCCCAGTCTTATACAAATTGTGATTGACTTTAGATTTATAGAGAGATTTGGTGTGGACATGTGGGGAAAAGTGGTTCCTTCGATAGAAAGTTTGAGGTAGGTGAAAAGTTTTTCTTAGTCTGCCGAGTCTACAGTGACTTGGGTGTGACGTAGATTTTTAATTTAAAGCACCAGACCTCAGAAATAATCTAGACCAGTATTTTTTAGTTTGCTGGTTTTCACCCACTTAATTGGTTGTAAAATTAATTTAGTGGGTCACAAACAACATTTTTAACAAAGAAAATAAGTAAAATATGTGAGTGCATTATATGTGGTAAGGGTAAGTATTGTTTTGGGAAACTTTTATTTCAGTTATATATGTGTTTGCTTGTCTTGGGTTATGAAGTCAATGTATTTTTTACTGTAGTCAAAAATGTTTGAAAGCCACTGATCTATACGTATGACTACCTTAATGTACTGATCTTTTCACTACCAGTTAACTGCTGTTAATGGGCTGTATAAAATCGTAATGTTATGCTATAATAAGACAATTTTTTCTTACCTCAGGACTTGATGTGCTGAATTTGCTTTTAAATCTAGGCTTATATCAGATCACCAAGTACTTGTGGCCACCACCAATCTTTTCTTCAGAGAATTGTCATTACAAAGACTGTGTAAATTATTTTTATCTTTTAGTTTGGCAAGGAAAAGGTACAACTGCTACCCTTTGCCTCTTTAATATACACCAGCAGTAATTGAAAAGATTTAGAGATTTACAGCCTTGGAAACCCTATGGGACAGTTCTACTATGTCCTATAGGTTGCTATGAGTCAGAATCAACTCGATAGCAGCGAGTTTGGTTTGGTTTATGATGCACCAGAACCCGATTTTCTCCCTAGAAGAATATGTTCCAAGCATTTCAAGTTAGATTAAAAGTTATATCCCAATAAGATGATGTCTACTTTTTAATAAATATAATAGGTAGCAAGAATTTGTTTGAAACAATCTGCAAAATTCTCAAAGACCGTGAGTGGGCCTGTGACCATAAATGGGTCATATATATCAGTGGATCATATAAAGAAGGATCCAGTCTGTTATATTGAAATGATCTGGAGCCTGATTTTAATGTGAGTTTTGTTAAATATTTTCCAATACAGTTTTCTAGAAATTCTTGGCTTTATGTAATGTGAGTGAGACTATGAGTAGTGATAGCTGTACAATAGTATAGTTATAAATGTCAAGAACTCTGTTGGTGGTTTCCTTATGTGGGCTGATCAGCAACACCTTGAGGACAGGTATGAGGATTCCCATTTTACGCATGAGGAAATTGCCCTTATTACATTTGGTATTTAGGTTGTTTATTTATACATTTATTTTTGAAGCCTAAGCCATTGCAATTAAACTTGCAAAGTATGTGCTATGGCAAAAATTAATTTAAAATTTATTAGAAATATTAGCAAAGAGTGTGTCTAGCGTCAGCGTTTTTAAAGAAGCATATTCCCAGTTTAGTTTGCTCAGTGAGCAAGTGGAATAAGATCAATTTAATTTTATGTATTTTAATTGAAAGGGATGTTATAGATATGACGGTATTATTTTCTTTTCTTCAGATTAAACTGCAGGTAGGGAAGAAAATTATATATCTAGCTGCTTCAACTTTTCCGAATCTTAAATAAGTTGATATTTGTTTTTTTGGTTTTGTGTCCTTTTTTCTCTAACATCACATTTCCACATGAACAGCCAAGGAAGAATCCTTTTCCATGACACTGAGAGTATGATCAAATTCCTCATTTCTGAGGTATCTGAAGGACTGGTTTTTAAAAATTTATATTTATAGTTAATGAAGATTGTTACTTGTCCCTTACCAAAGTTCTGTTTAGTGTATATATGAAGTGGTTCCCATATTGCTCCATATTGCTTCAGGTGTCAAAAAGGGATGAAAGGATAAATATCAGTTTAAAATCTTTACATGACATTTTCTGGCTGTACTCATTGTTTCCTTTGATCTTTTTACTTATAACTAGATAAAGTAAATATTGGAATCTGGTTTGTACTTTTTTTGGGCTTACATGTAATGACCCTATAGACCGTTGTCTACCTACATCTCTCTTTTTAGAGTCCTGGAAGCCTGCTGATACTGAAGGCAAGAAGCAGTATGACAGGGAGTTTCTGCTGGATTTCCAGTTCATGCCAGCATGTATACAGAAACCAGAGGGCCTGCCCCCCATCAGTGATGTGGTTCTTGACAAGGTACGCTGTACCCTCAGAGAAAGATATGCCTTGTTGCTGGGGACTGGCTTTAACTATCAGTGTAAATATGTAAGTTTGAGCAATATGTGAAGTATGAGTGATTTTTAGGAATTGTTAGATCAAATGGTGTTTGAATAAAAATATATAATGTTTAAGAATTAGAGTTTCCCTAATCATTGTTGGATTTTGAGTTTACTGTAGATTACAATAATCTTGGGGCTTGACCCATATTTCAGTGGCGAATTTTAAAAATTTATTTATTTGTCTGCTTACTGTGGCTGGTTCCTAGTGAAAATTATGTGTACATTGGGTAAAACGATATGGACATCTTTCCCCAGTATTTTAACTTTTCCATATAGACTTACAGTAGCATTAAGGACAGGTCAGAAACTTGGGAGGGTAATTGACAGGTTAAACTTAAATAGGTGTCAACGTAATTCAATTAATATATATCTCAAAATTTCCCTAATGAATTCTTCCAATGATTAAAATCTCCAATGCTATGCAAATAGACACCCTTTCTCATTACACATGATCTTAATGGTACATACAGAAAATTAGTAGTCAACGTTTATTTTTGTCTGTTTATTAAATTAAAAGGGTTAAAGGCAGATACATATCTGTTCAAGTAATTTCATGTAAATCAAAGATGAACCAGTGCTAGTGACTAAACTTACAGTGTTTTTGTTTTGAAGAGGAATTGTTTATCCTTAACTAAAACATAGAGGTTAACTATCTTACAGCATGAAGTCCACCTCTTATGGAGATTTCCAGCAGCTGTTTATCTAGACCTTATTTGTGGTATTTTACTTTCTTAGAGCAAGAGGTTGGCTTCTTATTTCTCTTGATATCTAAGTCTTCTCTCTTAGGTACTTTATGTGAGGACAGTTGAATGATTGGTGGTGCTAATTTGAGGCTACTTCAGTACTTCAGAGGGCAAGTGTTATATCCACTGAAATAGATTATTCTCTTAGAAAATACTCCTTCCTGTCTTGCTACCTTATCTGTTTGACTAGCCATTCATTAGTTGGTTTCTCATTGAGCCACTTAGCTTTGCTGGCTCCATAGTCATACATTATATGCCTATGTAAAGCCAGATATCTCAGATGGACAAAGCAGACAAAGTGAAATTTTAAATGAATCATACTATATGAAACATATCTCTGTTTGAGACTTCTTGTCTACACAAAGTACGTACTTTACTAACCATAAGTCAACAGCATCAGAACCAAAATGAGCACTATCAAGATTTTTATAGGCAAATGCTCTGATGTCCTGGTGAATATCCTGAAAAAATGAATGCCAAAATTTGGCCCTATTTCAGAGGATCTCAAAATAACTTGTCTTGAGCCATTCCATTGGTTCTGTGTATCTAGTGGGCCATTCCAGTGATTGTGTCTAGCTTGTCCTGGGAATTTTAGGTCTAATTAGCCCCAGAGCACTAGAAAACCATTGATGTCCTAAGGGTTCTCAGGCTAGCCCAGGAGAAGCTTCAACTTCATCTGGTTTAGAAGCCAATGCTGACCATTTTAACTGACAAAACTTTTCAGTCAAGGTTTTGTTATTTTGTGGCATCGCCTGCTCAGGAACTTGTAATAAGCTTTCCTTTGCTTCTTCATACAGATCAACCAACCCAAATTGCCAATGCGAACTCTGGATCCTCGGATTTTGCCTCGAGGACCAGACTTTACTCCAGCCTTTGCAGATTTTGGAAGGCAAACACCTGGTGGAAGAGGTGTACCTGTAAGTGCAAGTTCCCTACAACTCAATTAATTAGAAACTGTCATAGGCTCCATGACATCTTGTCTTAAGGCAAGAGAGCAGCTTTTATTTGTTGATTCTTCTAACCAAGAAAAAGAAGTACAAGAGGCGAAGACTATCTTTTCATACTAATATTAAAGCAAATAAAGAGTACACTTGAGTCGTTTTTACTTGAAAGAAGCTGGTCTGCATTAATTTAGTCTTCTTTTTTTTTTTTCCATACTTTTCGGTTGAAATGACCTGCAAATGGGTTAGAAACAGAGCCAACCTTGATAGGATTCCTATTTTGCTTTGAGGTATCCTGATATATTAGAGATCTCTGATGACATCAGCTAATGGACATCTCTTTGTCTTTGTTTCTGCAGATTTGCAAAGTGCAGAGCAGGCATGGATTGCCAATCCTGGAACAGGGCAAAGCCCTAGCATGCACTCCTCTGGCGATGTCGCACCCACCCCTGAAGAGCCTGCCTCTAGGGGTGCGCTGAATCCTTTTTTTTTTTTAAACAGTAGTTTATGGTATTATGAAATTTTCTGTTTTGCTCCTCTCATTTACTATAGGTTATAAAGTAAAAAATATGAATAAATGACATGTACAAAAGAGTGCAGTATTGGTAAACTGCAGATTGCCATTACACCCTTAGTGGCAGGCTCTTCACCAGTGGAAGTGGCATCACCAATGGAGTTATGCTGGGGCAACTGCACTGTGCAGGATTTGGCAGGCTTTGCCTACTTCATGCTTTGTACACTTGCAGAAAGCATAAGGGAAAGTTGCCAAAGATGTGACTACCTCTTTTTCCCAAGTTAGGATGACATAGAGAGCACTTAATAAAGTTCTGAAGGAGCTTGGAGTTTGATGTACGTTTGTAGATCACCCTGTTAAGGCTACTTTATTTTATGCTTTTAAGAACTGTTTTTATATAAGGTGACACTTTTTATTTTCCCATCACCTTTTTAATTCTGGAATGGCAACTTTTGAACACTGCTTTGAAATAAGACTACACTGTATAAAAATGAACGTCACTTTGTAGATACTTGAATTATTTGGTTATTTGCCTGCAGACAAATAGTAATTGAAAATACCTGAGTGCCTACCATGTGTTGGGGTCTTTGTAAAATCTACAGAAACTCTTCCTAATTTGAAGCATATTTGACCATCACCAACTTAAAGACCTTTGTGTGTTATACTCTATTCTCACACTGGTTTGGAATTTAACCTCTATTTTCTCCAGTTGCTAAATTAAATTTTTTCTAAAGCTTGAATTAGCTCACCATAAAGTCTTTTAGAAAGCAGCTTTCTAGAAACCCTTGTACCTTATTTTTTAGCATTATTTCCTTTTTGATGGTTTAAATTTATACTTGCGTTAGTGTTTGGTTTGATTTGTTTTTATCTTTATTTTGTCAGACATCTGAAATAATGTTGATAGCATTTTGATTATTCTCTGGTTAACAGCATCTGTGGTTACATTGCTCAGTTTTGTTCATATGTCACAGAAGGTATAAATTGCTGCATCTCTTTTTCGAATGTATACTGATACTTTTCATTAACAACTTGTTGTTCATTGTCAACTAATAGTTATATCAAAAAGGAAATACTGTGAGTTGAAAATAAGCTATATTTAAAAAAAATATTTAAAATGGGAAATGAATTTTAAAAGTAACAATCAGAATGTACGTTTACCCATTATGCCTGCATGTATCAGATAAATGAGTCATTCTGGTGCATTCAAAGTAATGTGACTGGAAATGAGACATGATCTAGAATTTATAGTGTCTCCAAAAATGTCAGCTTTAGTTATTTAATTCACTTTCTTCTGTCATGTGTTAAAAGATAGTTTTTAAGTGAAATTCTGATCCATTAGGATAATGTTGATATGTTAAGTTTTATAGTTATTCTTCTGGCTTTTTCCATAGCTAACAAACATTCCTCACGGGTTGGAAAAAGCAGCAGCCCTACTTTTGGTAGTTTCTGGTTCTGTATCGCTAATCATTTTTGTCAGTTGTTCAGATTGGCTTATTAACAGTTGCCACCCAATGATTTTAAAATCTACTAGGTATGCTTCACAGTATGACTTAAGTAGCTCCTACTTTGGAAATCCTGGCGGCGTAGTGGTTAAGAGCTATGACTGCTAACCAAAAGGTCAGCAGTTGAAATCCACCAGGCGCTCCTTGGAAACCCTGTGAGGCAGTTCTAAGACTCTGTCCTGTCGGGTCACTATGAGTCAGAATTGACTCGAGGGCAATGGGTTTGGTTTTGGGTTACCATAAACTTCCTTGTAACAGATTTGTTACAGAGTGTTTTTAATGCATGGAAAATTGTTTTAAAGTGTTAGTGCAGTTAATGTACAATTTTCAAACATAAAAGGTCCTTATGGATAGTAAAGAGCATACCTGTTGGAAGCACCCAGGCAGTATCATCTCTCTAGTTTTTTAAAAGTCAATTTACTTGGGCATTTGTGGTATTATTTTAATAGTAATCTTTTTCAGATATCACAGAAAGTGCTCGAAAAGAAATGTCTTAGGAGAATGGCTGTGGACTTAGACTAGTAATTTGCCACTCATATTCATTTCAACTAACTTAAAGATTAGTTGCATTGTTAAATATATGGGCAAAATCATAGGGATAAGAGGTTTTCTGAGCTTCTGTCATTCCTCCCTTCTCTCCTTAAAGGAACACTTGCTTGTCTCTCATCTTTCAAAAGTTTAAGGATGCATGTTGGCCCCATTTTCTCTGATTATCCACGTAATCAAGGAGTTTGAAGATATAGTTCAGTCTCTGAATGAAATAGGATCATACATATTCGATTTTAAAAGAGATGGGCATAATTTCTTTTTTAGTACATTTAAGAAAAATTTATGAGAGTGGGTAAAAAATTTACGCTTCTAGCTCACCTGAAAAAAATAGTTGTGACTTATTAGTTATTCAGCTTCACATTTTGATACTTAATTTTAGCTCTTACATTTCTGGGCTTTGAACACGTTATACCCTAAAGTCCTCCTTAATTAACTGATTAGCCATTAATCAGCAATTGTCCATCCCTCAAGCTAGGAAACCAGCTTCTTCTCTTTCTGTATACCTCATATCTCTTAGCACAGGATCCTAGATTTTGTTTGTGCTTAATAAATAAGTTTTTCATCATGGTACTACTTGAAAGATACTGTAAAACGTGATGATTTATATCAATTATTAAGTTTTTCACACACAAAAAAAGTACATGAGTCTGAAGGACTAATGGACCACAGCTACCAAGGCCCCCACCAGACTGAGTCCAGTACAGCTAGATGGTGCCCGGCTACCACCACTGACTACTCTGACCAGGATCACAACAGAGGGTT